TTCGCATGATTATGTCCGCGAATGCGTGCGTATGGGTGTTGCCTTTTCGCGTTCGCATTTGATCTTTTGCGTTCGCATAGAGTTGGCTAAGCTGGGGAGTCCCACTTTGTTCTTCGTATTCGCATATCTATGATCGCGATCGTGTACGTTGAGGCAGTCTTGAACTGCGTTCGTATCCCTTTATTTGCGATCGCGTAGTGCATTCTTGGCAGCTGGTAATTTTCTTCTTCGCGGTTGCATATTGATTTTTGCGATCGCGATGCATGTTACCTGGGCATCAGATATTAATTCCCAAATCGAGAGTTTTGTTCCATTTATGATTTTTTGAGCTAGTGACCTCGGATTTGAGCGATTTTTGAGGGGTTCTTCACGTGTTCGATTGGGGGTAAGCATTCTATATCCGAAATTGATTACATTTCATGATTTCATACTTATTCATATCATTAAATTAGTGAATTGAATGGAAGAAAATGAGAAATTTTGTTAAAATCTTTCAAAATGTAAAATGAGGATTTGAAGGGCGATTCGACATCGGAAATTGATAATTTTGGTATGGCTGGACTCGTATCAGAATGGGGGGTTTTGTGAATTTTATCGAATTTCGATATGCGAGCCCGGGGTTGACTTTTTAGTTTTTATTAAAGATTGAATCTTTATTGTCCGAAATTATTTCCTAAGAGTTTTATTTATGATTTGAAGTTATTTTGGCTAGATTTGAGCCGTTCGGAGGTTATTTCGCTTGACAAGGTCATTTTAGAGTATCGGTCTAGCTTCTTTGAAGTAAGTATCTTGCCTAACTTTGTGGGGAAAGGGGAAAACTACCCATTAAGATTTGAGTCATTTGTGCTAATTGTGTCATGTGAAGGCCGTGTACGCGAGGTGACGAGTACATACTCGGGCTTAATTGTGGAAATTTGACCGTTTAGGGCTCTTAGGTATTTATGTTCATTAGATATGAGGTTGTTTTGTCATGTTAAATTCTCCATTTACTAAATTCACCCTTATGAGTCTTATTTGAAATTAATTGATTCATGTTCCACCTTATTGCCAATTAAACTCGTATGTGCCTTAACTGAAGTTGTTGCTTCTTTTATTGCCATGCTATCTTTTTCGTAATTGCTCAACCTTAATTAAAGTTATCATTATCTCCTCCGGAATTGTTTAACCTTAATTGAAGTTATTATTATCTCTTCATTATTGGCGTATTCTTATTTAGGGTCATTGATTCATGCTCTCTCTCTTATCGTCGAATTGCACTTTTGTGGAATCATTGTTACACATTATTTCTCCCTTGTGGTGCTATTCTTGTTGAGACTATTCTTTCCTGTTGTGTCTTTCTTTGCTAGCTCGTTCTTCTGTTTCTTTGTGTTCTGAAGTTCTTGAGTTGATTTACTTGCCGTATTCCTTTTGTTATTGTTATTGTTACTGTTGCACTCAGTATTTTTGAGCCGAGGGTTATGTGTGGTTATTGTGGCATATGGGCACATGTTGTGAAAGTCATTTTATTGTGTGGTTATGTTTGGCACACGTGGTATTATTGAGAGGATTATCGGGGTGTTCGCACGTGAGTTGTCCGTGCTGTTGTTACTATTGATATTTGCACATGCGGCGTGACAAGGCAGGCTATATATGTGAGTTTGCGCATGTGGCGAGACAAGGTGGGAATATTATTATGCGTGTGTGGCTAGACAAGGTGGGTATTTTCTTTATTGTTGCGCATGCGGAGAGACAAGGTGGTCTATGTTGAGGAATGATTTGTGAAGACTTGTGATGGCCTGGGGGCATTGTTATTGTTGTTATTTGTGTAGTGATGTGCCTATCCTGTGTGAGTTATATCATGTACGTTTTGTGGTGATCATTTCTTATGTGCCATTCATTATCTCTACTCTTACTTGTTAACTTGATTTGTGGTAGAACACTTGCACACGCATACACATAAATAAATCACCCATATCGCTTTAAGAAGATGAATCATGATGTTATTGACCATTTACATGTACTCCCGTGTACTTGCCTTCTGTGTGAGACTTATCTTGTTGGCACGTGAGATGTCCGTACAGTCATGCGTCATTGTTATTGTTGGCATGTGAATGGTCTTTGCAGATCCATATATTGATAATATTGACACGGGAGTCGTCCGTGTAGTTATGAATTGTAATGTGGGCACAAGATACCAAGTGATTAGGGTTCATGAATTGGGACCCGTGATTTGTGATTATGAGATTTGGTACCTCCTGGAAATTCTTGAATAAAATCTAGTGTAAAAGCGGTTGTTCTTAATGAGTTGTTACTCGTTTTCCTTTATTTGGTTTCACCGGACTTAGACTGTGTTCAGCTTACTCTACAACATTATTGCATGTTTGCTTCTTGTTGTTAATTGTTATTTCTAGTGTTTCATTGCGAGTATTGTTTTGTCCTCCTTATCGTGCGTAGCTTCATATTAACATTATTTCCCCATTAATTCACCTTCATACTTGTTCAGGTTGTTTAGTCCAGTAGG